ATTCAAAACACAATATCTATAAAATTAAAATAAATTAAAATAAAATAAAATATTAATTACAAATTATGTGTCATTGAATTGGTAAGAATCTTTGTTTAGGGAACCTACGGTTCAACCCCTTGTTGTCCTTTGTTTTATCAGTAATGATTGAGACCCCCACAAAACATCACCCCCACAACCCCCACTCACTTGTGATTGGTCCAAGTAAGAAAGAGAAAATAAAAAAATAACTAAATACAAATACATCATTGGTCCACATTATTGTGGGGGTAATGGGGGTCTCCCCAAAAGGGGGTCCCAAACATTATTCTTGTTTTATATAATAGTATAGTATAGGCAACACCGCATGATACACGTGGAATTAACTAAATTCATTTTGAAAGTTGGTTTTATAGTAAAAAAAGTATTATAAATTGTCACATTATTATTATTATTATTTTGTTTAATTTTAGCTTTTGTAATTTGAGTTATGTGTAATTTACTTTCCTAACATTTAGAAATAGCTACATTCGTAACTAAGATCAAAATCTATGATTTTGCTTACTAGTGAGTAAACAAGACGGGATTTGTCTCCATGTAACGAGTATTCACTACTACTTACAAACACCGTCATTCACTCATCTTGCTACTTCGAAATTGTTCAACGAGCACATGGTGTTAAACACCTCTTTATAATGTAGCTCAGGTAGACTAATTATTGTAAATGATTGTCACTAGTAGTTTAGAGGTAGTTATATTGCTACCAACTTCTTTGTTTGTTTGAGAGGTGGCGCTCGGCAACGATGTTCAGTGCTCTCTCTCTCTCTTTGCTCAGAGGAGGAGGAGGTGGCGCTCGGAGGAGGAGGATGAGGTGGTGCTAATTTGATGAGAGACGGTGAGGAAGAGAGAGAGAGATCAGAGATGGTGAGAAAGAGAGAGAGATGTGAGGAAGAAAGAGAGAGAGCAGAAAGAAGAGAGAGAGAGTAGATATGAAATGAAAAAAACATGAAATGAGAGAGAGAGAGAGAGAGAGAGAGAGAGAAACAGTCAATCAAAAAAAGTATATATATATATATATACATATATATCACTTTGGGGAAAATGAGAACGGGGCCGGGGCTTGGATACTTATCACCGTTCTCGCCCTGAAATTGATTAGAGATTGATTTTTGAATGTCATCCTCAGCCTGTCGAGGGTACTTTTTGGAGAAAAATCGTTTAAATCGGGATCGGAGGATCGGGTCCCCATTGGATCGGTTTCAAATTACCATTCCTAACTTATAACACCTTTATTCACTCATCTTGCTGCTTCGGAATTGTTCAGCGAACACGTGAAGTTGAACGCCTCATTATAATGTAGCATAGGTAAACTAATTGTAAATGACTGTCTCTTGTAATTTAGAGGTAGTTATATTGCTACCAACTTCTTTGTTTGTTTGATTGCGGGGACGTGTGAGCACTTTATTAATAACATAGAAGGAGGCAAACCAAAACCTACTCTTAACAAGTTGCCAAGTTCAGCTTTCGTAACCCTATGTGATTTGTGGATTAAATTTTAAATATAATTAAATATTTCGTTAAACTTAATAATAAGTGTGAAATACGTGACAAATATAAAGGTTTAAATGCTAATTTTTTTAATTTTAAGGGAGTAAATCGTACAGAAAATAAAGCACATAGGGTTAAAATGCATTGCTTCCCAAACAAATAAAGAAAATATAGGAGTATTTTAATATTTTCTTTATTAAATCATTAATAGTCCTAGCAGTACATTTTAGTTTACAAATGACAAAAAAATTATGTGATCATTTTTAAATATTTAAAAAGTAAATCGTATATAATCAAAATCACAAAAATAAAATGAAGTTTGTATTAAAAAAAATAATAATTAAAACTCAACTAAAATAACTAATTATTAAAGGAGACAATTATTTAGGGGAATGTTTGGGATCCTCGCAAAAAAGGATTTTTATAACCTTTACTGATGTGTTGATTATTGATGTGTTTAAATTTTTTTAAGAGTTGTGACATGAATGATTCAGATTATTTTAAGAGTTGTAGGAATTGTGTTTTGTGGGGCCGTATTTTGTGAGATCTCTATCATTGTTGTACTTGGAGGCAAAGGGACAGGTATCTATGTGGAAAATACAAAACAAAAGCGCACGCACTTCCATGTGAGCAAACCAACAACAAACAAACGAACGAACAAACAAACAAGGGTTTTGTAGCCCTTGTCCATATCTTTGTTTTTCTCTTTTGTAATGTTCTTGGACCTATTTTCATACTCATGACTACCATTGAACGTTAGGGTTTTGAAAAATCAAAACAAACAAAATTGTAAAATAAATTGATAGAGAGAGAAATACAGAGAGAATAAATTGTATGTATTCAATTGATTTATTATTCAGTGATTTACAACACTCTCATTGATAGAGAGGAAAGGTGGTACACATAGGATACTAACTAACTAACACCGAAAGTAGAAACATTATCATTAGTGGGACAGTTGGACAGCTAGATATTGCACACTAATATTACACTAGATATTACACACTAATATTACACTAACAGCCCCCCTCAAACTCAAGGAGGATAGGTACTAACCAACTTGAGTTTGGAGAGAGTAACAAAACAGGAAAGTAAACTGATAAAAAAAAAAAAGGATAGGAGACACTGTATGGTCGTGTTAGACCGTTATAGCAGACAATGTCGGGATAGTTTACGGGGTCATGCCAGACCGATGTAGAAGCTAACCAGAATTAATGTCGGGACAGTTTACGGAGTCATGTCGGACCGATGTAGAAGATAACCAGAATCAATGTCGGGACAGTTTACGGGGTTATGCCGGACCGTTGTAGAAAACTTTGGTGGTACATTAAGCGGGCGACTTAGAGAGTGCGCTATGGGGTGGCTTGGGTGGTTCGCATGGTGTATAACCATGCTCACCATGATATATATATAATACCCCCCCTCAAACTCAAATAGGTTTGAAGATAGAAACCTATTGGAGGTTGAAACAAAGGGATTGATAAAGTGGAGCAGAACGGGTCAACACATAGTGGAGATGTGAAAAAAAAAATGGTAGAAAGGTTTTTTTTTTTTTTTTTGTGTGTGTATGTGTAGAACAGTGAGCGGGGTGCCCTGATATGAAGAAAACAAGGGCGTTGTGCAAGCCGGATGGCAAGAATGGCACAAGGTTGTTTGGAGCAGAAAAATTAGTGAGGTGGTGTTGAATGTGGGTTGGTATTATAATAATAAAAAAAATGTATGTATATATAGAAAAGAAAAGAAAGTTGAAGAGAGTGTGAACATGCTGATGATGAAAAGTAAAAACATAACATAAATTAAAAATTAAAGGGGTAGTGGGGAACCGAGTGGTGTTTGGTCAGAGTGGTGGAAGAAGATACATGGCCAGCAAGATGATTAGGTTTTGGTGGATGGGAAAAAAAGTAAAGTGAGAGAGAAAATCTGTTTGCCGGATTGAGAGAGAGAGAGAGCTTCGATGTAAGTGTGAATGGTGTGGGTCTATGTTGTGCTGTCTGTATCGGTGTGTGAATGTATGGTGTGTATCTGGGTGTGTTGTGTATGGTGTGTGGGTGTGTTGTTTAGCTCCAAAAAATGTTGTCTTTCATCTCCCTTTGTATGGGTGTGGGTGTGTTGTATGGGGTGTTCTTTCAAACGGTCTGTTTCTCATTTTCAGCTATAATTCCAAGCTCGTGATTGATATCAACGAAGATCGACGACGATGGTGGTGCTGTCTCGGACAACGATGCCGGGAGGTTGCTAATGATGCCGGAAGAGGGCAGCAGAGCTTCGGCGTTACATTCATGTTGCGATAGGGACGCGCAGTTGTTATCCACCGCCTACGGATACGTCGGTGGTGCTTACAGTTGCAGCAAAGGACCCACTGGTAGCCTTGAGGTAGTCGCTCGATGCCCTGGCCGTGGAGGAGCTCGACGGAGTCCGGTGCGTGGGGGTCACGCGCAACGTTGAAGTTACAGAAATTGAACTCCCAAATGAAGCCGCTCTCGCCAGAGCCGAGGTGTGTGAGGTTTTCGGTGGCGTCGGTGAGAGTGAGACCGAGCTGGATGAGATTTAAAGCATTGACGTTTGATTTCAAGAGCTTGTAGTGGTCCGACGGGAGGATTGATCTGGTATTGGAGATGCCATATTGATTAATTCACAGCCACCTGTTGGACCCAACATTTGTTTGCATGGAGAATGAGATGGGTTGGTTATCCACATCAAGATTCAGTATATCCAAATCCATAATAGTTGAACCCAAGAGACTTGTTATGTTGGGTTGGTTACTGAGAAGAGAATCAAAATTAGCTATATGGCGAAGTTTTGTAGTTATCACTGTAAAGTAGAGAGAGAAAGTGTGAGAGAGGTCTTGCGGGAGTTGATGGAGGTCTCAAATTGGTTGAGGTCCGGCGGGCGGTCAAGGTAAGGTTGCCGCCCGCCGGAAAGCGAAGAATACCAAGAGCTTAACCTATAACTCTGATACCATGTAAGATAAATTGATAGAGAGAGAAATACAGAGAGAATAAATTGTACGTATTCAATTGATTTATTATTTAGTAATTTACAACACTCTCATTTATAGAGAGGAAAGGTGGTATACATAGGATACTAACTAACTAACACCGAAAGTAGAAACATTATCATTAGTGGGACAGCTAGAGAGCTAGATATTGCACACTAATATTACACTAGATATTGCACACTAATATTACACTAACAAAAACAAACAAACAACCAACCAACAACAAGAAAAGGAAGCTTCTCACTGTGAATCTCGTTCCCTGTCCTTTTCTTTCTTCTTGTTCTTTCTTCTTCGTAACTCTCTCTCTTTCTCTCATCTTTTATTATCTTCCTTATTGGCCAATAAGGTGTGTATTGATTTTTTTTTTTATATTTTTCCCCTCAGTTTTCTCCGGAAACAAACAAGGGTATGTGATTGTAGTGTGCTTGTTTTGACTCTTAAATTAAGAAATAAAAAGTGATTTTGCAGAACCCAAATGGCGTGCCAGGCCGTTCATTCATGGACATTTAGTGGGTTAGTGGGTGTTTTTCTTGATCTTGCTATTGCTTATCTCTTACTCTGTGCATCCACTCTCGCATTTTTGGCCTCCAAATTTCTGGGTTTTTTGGGGCTTTTCGTACCATGTCCTTGTAATGGCCTATTTGGTACCTCCAATAGCAATTACTACTTGAAGAGGCTGTTAATTGATTGCGCAATTGAGACAGTCTCTTCTGTTCAACTGTCTGTGAACACAAAGTTTCCCTTTGATTCAGTTTGCGTGAAAAACCGAGATTGCCAAATGAATTTGAAGTTAATTAGAGATCAAAACAATTGTGTTGATGGGTTTGTTGAAATGGAAGGCGAAGTGTCTTGTAGCTCAATATCGGGTGCTAGGAAGTTGCAAAATGTGGTTAAGAGGGACTTGATTTTGAGGAATGAATCAGTTAGGGTGTTTGATGTAGTGAATTCATCAGTTCATGTCAAGAAGGGAAGGTTTGATCTCAAGGGTAAGGGGATTGTAAATTAGAGGCCAAGGAATGGTCTTAGGCGACGTCGAAAAGGTCTTGCCGATTATGCAAAAGTTTCGCCTGTGTCATTTGACCCTTCATATGCAAATGATCGGTCACGTTCTAGCGTCAATCGTAAAGGGAATAATGAGATTGAATGCAGTTCACTGCCTGTCAATTCTGGAGCTGATGCTTATCACTTTAATTGTGAGTGTTGATTTTGATCTTGGTTTGTATTCTATCCATTTTCTTTATTTCATCAGAAACTTTGCACCTTAATTGAAAAGGAAAATAAAAAAAAAGAAGAGAGGCATTAGTGTTTCATTTTGTGGACTCATGTATATGTGCATGCATTTTCACATTTTTAAAATCAACATAAGTTGTGCTATAATCTTACAGCTGAATAAAGAAATTCAAGAAGCTTAGTGTTGTATGTGCACTAACTTACAAAAATTGTTCACTGTATATGCCATGCATGAAAAGTCACAATTTCCACTGACAATGCATATATCCTGTATCCGAGTGAAGAGTGAAATTATGTCTTACAGATTTTTTAAAAAAATCTTGGCCATTCTTGGCAAAGGGATGGGAAGGGATTTTAAACCATAAAGGGATGTGAAATTCCCTGGTTTTGAAATTCTTTGGTTAGTTTTAAAAAAGGGATTTGCAAATTTTGCTGGGGTTTTCAAGGACAGACTTGGAGGTCCCATATACACATATTAAAAGCGTTTGAAGGAGTTATATTTTAAAATCCTTAAAGCAAAGAACAGAAAAACTGGAAAAGTACAGAGCCCTTCAGATGATCAAAATTATTCATCTATGTGAGTGTGTGTGTGTAAGATGGCTTGTAAGGGAATTATTTTAATTTTTGATATTGGTTAAACTCACCCCTTCGGAGCCATTCAGGTGATCAAAATGCATTTAAAAAAATGAAAAACAAAAAGAAAAAGAAATGAAGAGGTTGTTCTGGTTTTAAACAAATGGACTACCATACCACCAATACATATATGGAAAGTACAATTTTTATGTCTTTTTCAATTAGCACTTTAGTCTGTGAGCTTGAATGTTTAAACCTCAAGAATTATTGCTTGTGCCCTCAGGGCATGAGCTTTGCACCCATTTCTAAACAATGTCTTGGCATGTGTTGCCATGACTTCTTGCTTGGTGTATCAGATTTTACATGGAATCTTACATAACATAACTGGAAGCATTCATAGATCCATGCTTAGGTTATTACTAATACGATGCATGGCAATGCTATTGTGTGTGGTATGTGATTTAGATGATGAGGACGCTCCAGTTGTTAAGAATTTTGGGGATAGAGCTTCACATGGCTTTCAGTTGGATGAAACTCTTCATGAAAAGAAACTCACTGAGAGAAGTGAATCATTATAGCGATCCCAGGTTTACCCTTGTTATACCGTGATCCGGACATGTGTCCGTGGATGTTGGTAGTTGTTTATTATTTTGTTTACATCCTTTTACTTCGTATTTGAGTTATAGGATGTGTTGGGCGGATTTGTTTCAGGTTGGTTGAGTTTAGAAACCAAAACTAGTTGCCCAGATTTTTGGCCTGTACGCTCGAGCGGAGGTGTTGGCGCTCGAGCGGAGATTACACCCATTCAGTATTTTCCTGTGCAGCGTTGTACGCTCGAGCGTGGTATTGGCCGCTCGAGCGGGGTTGTCTGAGTGCCGCTCGAGCGTAGGGTTGGGAGCTCGAGCGGAGGCCTGGTTCTGCAAAAGTGCTGGGCGAGTGCATTCTGCGCTCGAGCGGGAGGTTGGCCGCTCGAGCGGAAGTCAGTGAGTGGACGCTCGAGCGGGGTGTTTTACGCTCGAGCGGAAGACTGGGTTTAAGTCCCGAATTTGTGACTCTTCAAATCACTTTTTCACTTTCTCTTCTCTCTCCTACTTTTCCAAAATCACCATTGTTGAGCCTCTCACTCTAGAACTCAACCTTCTTCTAGGTTTTGATCTAGTAGGAGTGATTTACTCACCTTTGGCCTTTACAAAAAAGT